GTCGACCGACCCTTCCTGACGACCCCCCGCCATACAGCGCCCGCTCGCAGCCGCACTGGCGGGAGCGGCGCTCGCGGAGCCCGCGAGGAACACGCAAGGCCCCCGCCGAGCCTTCCAGCGGCTCTCACGGTCCCCGCAAGGCCTCGCACCCGCAGCTGCGAGCTCGGAGCAACTGCCTGCGTGCGGCCGCGGCCGCGAAGGGAGCGTGCGGCGGGCCTGCGAGCGCTGCCCGGCCGTGCCCGGGCGGCGAGCGGGCTGCGGAGGGCGGCCATGCACGCGCGCTCCGTTCGCTTGCCGAGGAAATCTCGCGGGCATGTGCAAAACAAAGAAGTTGAAAAACAAACCCTGTGTTTGTTTTTCCTTTGCAACAGGGGAGGCTCGTTCCGGAGATGCAAAGTACCGCCAAGCGCAAAACTAGGTCGGGGCTCGCGATTACATAACACGGCACCAAAACATGTTGTGATTTCCCCGAGCCCCGCGGGGCTTCGCGCACTCCGTGGGCTGCGAGGGCCCCTGGCGGCCGCGCTCCGCATCGCGCCCAGCCCGGGCCCCCGCGCGCACCGCGCAGCTCCGGGGGTCGTGGCGCCGGGCGGCGGAGTGGCCCTGCGCTTTGGGGGCCGCTGCAGCCGCCCCAGTTCCCCGGGAGGCGCCCGCGGATGTCGCCCTGGCCTGGTGGCAGGACCACCTCGGAGCTGGATCGCCAAGCATCCAGCTTTTCCCTCCATCTGTGCTGGTCTGCAATTTCTATAGTGGCCCTTGCTGACTGGGAATGATAGGACTTGCAGTCTAACACATCTGGAGCACACAGGCAGGGACGGGGTCGCTCAGACCTTTATCGAAATGCAGCAGCAAGAAACCCGTGTGCATTGGCTGGGCCATCAGAAGTGTCCCTGCTGCTGGGCAGTCCCTGAACTTTTTTGCAGAGCGCCCGAGTCGCCTCTTGGAGGTGGAGGGCACCCCAGGCCCTGCCACTCAGGCAGGAACTGCACCACTTCTGGAGGCTGGTGGTTGCCCTGTCGGACTGCGCGTACTGCCAGGTAATCGCCCACGCGCCGTTCTGGGCTCTACAGAAGTCCCACCACCTGTAGCAGAGCTGGGTACCTGGTGCGGCTCCCGAGGCCTTGTCCTTCAGCTCCCATCGTCCTTCACCATCTGTTGTGTTGGCTAGGCCTGAAGGGAGCTGTAGGCCAGAACTGGCAAGGGCGCATGTGGCCCTTTTCGGGCTCGTCAGGGTGGCGCATCAGCTCTTCTCCAGGCTCAACATGCCAGACTCCTTCAGGAGCCCTGGAGTGCCAGTCTTGTGCTACTGCCGGCATCGCTGCTGCACAGGGGCACCACACGCCCCACAGATTTGTGCATGCAGTTACACCTCCGCAAAACACACGCGAGTGGCGCGCACTCGCTCCGCCCGTTCTCCTCTTGCTTCCTTGCCAAGCCGCTCCCGTCAAGGTGTCCGGTCACACGTGCAGCGCATGTGTCTGCAGAAAGCCGCAGGGAACCGTGCACATGGCACGGTGCACAGCTTTCCACGAGGCATCCCTGAGGAAGCTTCACACACGGCGGAACCTCCTCTGGCTGAGGATGCTCAGTCCAGCTGATCAGGGCAGGGCCGGAGCCAGGCGTCCCTGCAAGCCGGTGCCCCTCCTGCTGGCCCCCTCCCCAGAGTTCCCCACCCCAGGCCCACGGCAAGGGGAGCGCTGCTCCGTGCCCGGCCTCTCGCGCACGGTCTCTCGCCTGTTGCCGTCCTGCTCAACAGCACGAGTGCACGGAGGGTCTGTGGTGTGTGGGACTTGCTCTGCGCGCAGCCGGCAAGTGGCTGAAGCGGAGGAGGAGCGGTGCAAAGCCAAGCTGCTGGCCAGCGGCACTGCAGAAGCTTTGGCTTGGAAGAGGTGCCTGGGGGTGCAGCAGAGGTGGCCCCGGATCTGGCAGGCAGCCTGCCCCACACCGGCTTCCACAGGCAGGGCAAAGTTGGGGGCAGCACTCGCTTCCTCCTCTGGGGAGAAGTGCCACCACCAAGCTTCTGCCTACTGCAAGCCACGGCTCCTCTCTGCAGAAAGAAAACCTGCTGAGTCTTAAAAGGGACTTTTGAGTCCTTTTGCAGAGGGACATTCCAAGTGAGGCTCTGCAGGGCTGCCTGAGCTGTGGCACATGGGCACCGCAGAAATCCCACGCATGCTGCAAGATTTGGGCTGGGCCCAGGCCTCTCTCACCCAGTGCATAAGCTACCGTCCATGCGGGCCTTGGAGCGCCATCTGTCAAACAGGGACCCTTGTCCCCCCCCCGGGTGCGTGCGAGGGAGAATAGGGTGCTTTCCAAAAGGTGCTGGAGAATGATAATAATTCTAATAATAACTTCTGAATGCTGGGGGCAGCCAGGAGGCTGTCTGAGCCCCTCCCAAATCAAGCTTGGCCTCTTGGCTGGCTATTTTTCACAGCTCGCGTCTGCCGCGAGGACTCTTGGCCGCTGGAGCGCAAGTCGGCTGCTTGGCAGGCTCCCCCTTCCAGCTGCTGGGCGGCTGCTCTCTTTGATAGAGGCCCTGGCAGTACTCCCAGTTCTTGGCTTGCTGGCACGCCGGCAAACAGCCCAGGCGGGGCCCGAGTGCAGCTGCCCGGTCCTCCCTCAGCTCTGGGAGGAGCCCTCCAGCCTTGGGAGCTGAGCTGAGCTTGGGAGCTGAGCTGCTGAGCTTTCGGGGGATCCCTGAGCCCCGGAGTGGTGATGACGGCCGGCCCCAGTGAGCGTGGCGGCAGCCCCTTCCTCCGTCCTACCTTCTTTGGAGTCGGCCCTGGCCGTCAAGCCCCACCGGAGCCATGCACCGCCCTGCATGGGGCAGGAACCTGCCTCTGGCACATCAACGGCATGGATTTCACACGTGTGAATCCACTTGGGATTTTAAAAATGCTCTGAAAAAGGAAAGCAGCGCTTCCTTCATGCCACAGTGCCTCACTTGTTCAGAGGGGGCCCCAAAGCAAGCTCCTCTTCTGGAACTGATAGTCACCCACCGTTTTAAGCGGTGGGAGAGGACCATGGGACAGACTGAAACAATGCGCACCATTTTGCCGCCTCTCAGGATGATACACTGGCTCTGCCGAACGCGCAGCCATTGCTCTAAAAGGCGCCTGCAGACATTCTAGCTCCTGCTGGCCATGTTTCAGGGCTTAGCAGCACCACGGGACGACTGGGGGGCTACGTTTTCCCTGTTTCTGATCCTGGCCTGGCTGGTGAGGAGCGGCCTTCACAGGGCAGGCGTGCGCTAGCCGCTGTGGCACCGCACAAGCTCTTACTGGGGCAAGATGGGGACCCCCAGAAAGCCAACACGGTCTGGGCACAGCAGCTCCGGAAAAGGGGACCCCCAGCCCTTCCTTCAGTGGGCGAGTTGGCCCTTTCTGGCCGGAAGGCAAAGGGCCACTCCCTGCAGGACCAGACGAGAGAAATGGCTCTCGGGTGGCTCACAGGCCTCCCTGGGCCTGGCTAACCGGGAGGGGAGGGAAGAGAAGCCCCAGCATGCCGGGAAACCCCGCTCTGCCCCCGTGCTGTGTGTCTCCCGGGTCCTTCCACTGGGCCACGTTCTCCTGCCACCTTTAGCCATTCCAATTTTTAAAATGCGGATTTGATTTGATGGTACTTGCATTGCCATCTGTTTTGTTTTTACGGATTGTCGCAAACTGCCCAGAGAGCTTCGCCTAGAAATGAAGGAGAGAGCAGCATGCTCCTGTCTGGAAAGATGCTTGGGGAAGACGCTGCCGCCAGCAAGGGCCCCCTCCCCGCTCGGTCTTTCTGCCGGGCAGCCGGCTGGTCTGGCCAGAGGGGCAGGTGGGTGAGTGAGCACAGCAACCCCACTTCCCCTGCCCAGGAGGGCAGGAACCACGCCTGGGAGGGGCAGCCCCAAGGTGGGGGCAGGCCTTTGCAGCCCCCGGGCCTCCGCGTTCGCTGCCCCGCTGCTGAGTGCACCCCTGTCCCCCAGAGGGCTTCGCCCCCCGCCCCCCGGGTTGCCCTGCTTGGCACTCACTATGTCAGGTGGCTGCATGGCGCCGCTGCCAGCCTGCCCCGCTTCTGCCAGCCCAGAGAGGGCAGTGTCCCGGCCACTGCGCATGGTGCCAGCTCGGCGCACGAGCACCTCGGCTCACGACCAAATCGGGCCGTGAGCAGAAATTTCAGGAAAATTTTTCCTCGGGTCGCGAACTCTGTATCGGGTGACAAACGTGATCACACCCGTCTTCCCTGTGATTTAAAAAAAAATATTACAGAATGGATTAACCTTCTTTACATTGACCCTTATGGGGAAATTTGACTTGGCTCACGACCACTTTGGGTGGCGACCAGAGTTGTGGAATGGATTAAGTTTGTGAGCCGAGGTGCCAGTGCATCTGCAGCGCCCCTAAATACCAAGGGGCCCCTTTCCACGCCTTGAGTTTTCACTCTTGAATGTGCCAAAAACTCAGAAAAGAATGGGCTGCGGACATCCCTGCCCTCTTCCACTAGAAAAGGAAAGCA